ACATTGAAATCGACGTGGAAGAAGCGTTTTAATGACCACCTGAGAAATCTCGAAAAAGATAAAATTGGTGAGAGACGTGAAGTTGCATTAGACTGGTCGGTAATTATTTTTAATTATTTGAAAAAAATTAGTTGCTAGCAATTCTTGCTAGTCTGTAGTTGCACCACTGGGAGCAGGTAGCGTCCCTGTTAACTCCTGGAGTTAGGTAGCGTTCCTCGGTGCAATGCAGAGTGCTTGTTATACATTCATATCACTGGGAGCAGGTAGCGTCCCTGTTAACTCCTGGAGTTAGGTAGCGTCCTCGGTATAATGTATGACAAGCAACAACTTGAAAATTATAAACAAAGTGAAGTTAAATAATTCATTTTTTTTTATTTGAGGATTCAAATGCCACTGAATTCTGGGACCAATTTGAAAAGAAGCAACTGTTAAAACGACAGCAGGTATCAATGATTGATGGTTATGTTTCAATTATGAATTCATTTAATATTTTTGTGTATTATTCAACAGTATAAGACAAATGTCGACATACAACTAAGTACCTTAAAAGTGATGAGCACAGCTGCTTCATATCAGGAGAATGAACTATCGAAACAAATGGAACTTTTAAGTGAAAATGATAAAAATCGGGTAAGGTGTTTAATATTATTAATATACAATTGTTTAAAGGTAATTAACAATGCGTGTCTTCCACTTATAGAAACGTCCAAATGATGATTGTATTGAGCAAGAAAAATTATTTAGGTATGATATATATATATATATACAGTATACAGTATATGCATGTATGTATGTATACATATGAATATTGCTAACAATTTTTTTTTAGGAAAATATCGACTTTTCGAAATCGAAACGTGCGAAGTTCCAACAGACCTGGAAGGCGTTGGTTTACTTCCATCTTTTTTCAAGGCTTTTGTGACTTGGGTTGTAAGTAATATGATAATTATTTGTTATTTGGATTTGCTTTTACTGATATCTATCGCTATTTTATCGTGTAGTTGATGGTTAGGGACACCGATCAAGAGTTCCGAACGGTGAGAAACAGAAGGAGTGCACGCTATAGTAACGCTCATAATTTACGAGTTCTTTCAGAAATAAATCATAACAAGCCTCGTACAGGCAATACAAAGATCATAAAGGAAAAAAAATCATATAGGCGGAATATAATAAATGATTAAGACAACTTAATTATACAGTGAGAATATTAATATTTTCAAAAAATTTTATCATATATAACAAACGGGATTAAAGTACGAGACAAATTTGTCATAAAGCTATGCGACTTTGATATTACCCATTTTGTAAATATAAAATTTTCGTTAACGGTTGCCGATCACTTTTGCAAACTTCCAGAGCGAAGAAATTTCGATCATATAGAGCATTGATATCAACACGCAAATCTTAATATCTTTGTGAAATATATGATTATTTACATTTTATTGATGTGATGCTTGACTTTATTGTTACAAATAAATATACTGTACAGGCATTTAAGTGCTAGGTATATATCGAGATATCCTAACCCACAACAATTCCACCACTACTTTAATCACTTTTTTAACACCCTTCCTGATCGATTCAATATCCTCCTTCAATGCCGTTTTGGATAAATTAATTCGATATTCGCTTTTCCTAGTACAATATAGCCCTTCCGTGCAGAGTTTGATAAAATGCCATTCCATAGCTAGAAAAAGATAATCAGAAAATATAAAATAAATTTGCGCCAGATATATCAACTTATTCATACCTGTAATGTCTGTAATATAATCTTTACTTGATAAAGTAACATGTATTTGTATATAAACTCAATAAAATGGGCATTGTTGCATGTTTTAAAAAAAATATATATATACAAAATACTATTTTAAAAAAATATAATTATATTACGACCCATAAAATATAAAATTTTATTAGGGTCTTTCCAATTTGATCTTTCTTTTTTATATTCTCTTAATCTTCTTTGATAATCATCTTCAGATTCTTCCTTACCATTATAATATTCTTTTTCAGGTTTGGTAGGATAGTTGTAATTGATATACAGTATACTTTTCTACTCTTATCATTGATTTCAAGTTTTACTTGCCATAATACAATAAGATCTGAATATATTAAAGTATTTTATGCAACAAATATAAATACATCCAATATTCTAGGATTCTCTCCTAATATCATGATCACTTTAACATAAAAATTTTCTCAAAATAAGTAAAAATAAGATAATCTGGGAATTTGAAGTTCCGCAAAATTAAGAATCAATCTTTTTATATTTTGAGATTTATTATTTAAATTAAATCTCGATTTATTTTTAAATAATTTAAAATTTTTTGTAATTATCAAAAAAGATATAATAAAAAAATATAAATTCCTATAATAATAGAAATCTGTTCTTCGACAATGTTTTTAATAATAATTTCAATAATAGAATACATATTTCTTTTAATCGAAAAAATATTCTATTAAAGATTATGTCTTATTGTATATACACAGTATTATAATTTGTAGAATTGAAAAAAAGAACTCCTGCTAATCCTCTGACCACACACAAAAAAGATGTTTGCAAGAAGTTTTATACTTCTTTGCTAATAAAGTCTTTATACTT